CATTATGTTATGCGTGACTTGTATTATAAAAGTCTTTGGAAAAATTTGTTCTTCAAAATTATTAAATTTATCTTGATTTAGAATTACAACAATAGATAACATAATAAATTAGTGAATTATAAATAGAAAGTTGTGAATATTTTATTGCAGTCGTTTTCTCATAGAAATATAGTGAAGCATTTCTAAGACTTGTATATTTTTTATGTTTTGATAAAAAACATTTTATAAAAGACAAAAACGGTAGCACAGTGCGATCGTAGTACAGTCAGGAAGAGTATAAATGATATCTGACTAAATAATATCATTATCATAAGAAACAATTCGATGCAAATACGTAGATAATGTTAAACTTTAATAAATTGGTAGATTCCAAAGCATTATCAATTCCTATTTTATGAATTAGTAGTTATTTGATTTATAAGTAGAGTATATCAATGAATACTTAGTAATTTATAGTTTTTTTTTCTCCTAACCCAGCCATACTAAGTGAAAGGGTTGCTAACTTGTCACAGGTAGTTAGCCGAATGGTAAAGTGACCATTGGGATTCTCTATGGCACCTGGCGCACCATAGAGTATACAGCCTTATCACAGTATCGAGCTTTGCTATGATGGACCTTTATTTCTCGACTGCTCGTGGGAACTATATGGATAAAAACATACAAACACCACAAAATAACGAACTTTGGACGATCAGGGATCCTACGGACAACCTGTCGGAACAAGAGTGTGAACTGGTGACTCTTCGCAGGAGAGTCGCCGAACTTAAAGGTCTCAATGTGAACAACGGGACACTTGGTGAACCGTCTACTAGCAAAGAAACAGCAACGTCAACAAATGCAGACCAGGAATTACAAGATCAACTGGGAGCAGTAGCTGACAAAATCGAGGGTCTAAAACTTAGACCTGAGAAACATCAACCTGATAAAATCTTGGGACGGTGCAGAAATCCAATTGGAAGTCTACAACCCGTACAAACGGTCACTCATATACAAGGGCTGCCAAAAGAGTCCAAGAAGATATTGGACATTTTGGCAAAACAGAACCCAGGGCTGAACACGGCAATCTGAAAAGTCCACCATTAGACAGAGGTTGGCCCGAAAGGACAATCATTGTTCCTAAGTGTGGATGGCATGGTCAATATTAGGGTTGATACAATGTATTTAATTATTATAATTAGAATAAAAATATGACAAAAATAATATATAGATTTCTTTTCAGAATGAAAGATTTTAAATGTGACTATTAATTGATTTATGATTGAATCGTGTATATTACAATATAACTAAACAGTATGAAATTGTTGACTATTTCTCTTAAATGTTTATTTAAATTTTTTGTTAGAAAAGGATCATGTCTTTTTAAGAATATACTGTATACAAATACCATGTTATGACAGTGACAAGTATATTACGACACACTTCTGTTTTTACGAAAATTTAAGCTACAACATACTCTTGTATGTTTATAATTAGGTATTTCAATCCTTAAACTCTTAACTGTTTATTTTTGTTTTATATTAAAAAATGTTAACTGTATAGCCCGTATAAATGTTTTAAAAAATTATGAAAAAACTTTAAAAATTATTCTTGTTTATTTTAGATATAGTATGTAAAAAAATCCCTAATCAAATTAATACATACTCAAGAATCTATTATTGCTAGTATTAAAACATGGTTTGCTTGTGCACCATTAAAGTAAGTATTATTGGTTAATTATTACTTTGTGTATTACTATATTTGAGTATATTTTAAGCCATGAAAGTCTCAAAATAAGTATAAACTATATTTATATTAAAAACAAATCAATTTTAATCAATAAATTGTAGAATTACCTATTGCGCCCACATTTATAATATTTTTTTTCAATTTAGTATGATATTTAAAATTTCTATGTTCCATTAATTAGATTTATTTAGTTAAAAATGTGTGTTTTTATTTATTAAATTCAATTAATATGCATAGATTAATTGATTTTTATAATAATGTGTCAATACAAACATAGCAATTTTATACAATAAGTAGTAACATAAAGTGTATGAAAGTGTACATAATATATGAGAAATGTATTGTATATATTTACATTTATGTCATTCAAAAAATATTTTTTTTAATTATTATCATTTGTGATACCATTTCTTAAATATAAAAAGAAATATTATTCAAATGACAAAATGTCCATTAGAACATTTAAAAAATATTTATAAAATATTTCATTAATATTTTTTAATTGTTTTTAAAAACATTTAAAAATTACTATATTTTACTTTGGTTGTACTGATAATATAACTACTCACGAAAATTATTTTATTTTAAATAATTTCTTCTGTAAATTTTGTAACTGTTTTTTTTTTATATAAAAATGATATTAACAGGTCTAACTTTAAATCATATTTTCATATTATAGAGGGTTATTTATAAAAAAAGGAAACACAAGTAGATATTAACTTAAAAAACGAACAAGCTATTCTGTTATAAAAATATATATAATTTTACACGTTGTAAAATAAATTATTTAAAAAGAGATGAGTTTAAAATTTAATTTATAGAGTTAAATACATTGTTTTTCGTAACATATTTATTGTCCTATCATTACAATAAATATAGTTTAAAAAAACTAAAAAAAACATGCTTTTAAACTATATTTATTTTTCACTTTTTAGTTTCATGTAAAGGGTTCAATTCCGGGGAGGGAGTTTGAGAAACGGCCACCACATCCAAGGAAAGTAGCAGGCGCGTAAATTACCCACTCCCGGAACATAGAGGTAGTGACGAAAAATTACGACATGGGAATCATCCTTTGTAATCGGAATGAATACTCTATATCTCTTAATGAGAATAAAGCGTGTTAATATATATATTTTTAATAGTAGTTAGAATATATATATATATATATACATGTAAAGCGACTTAAGTACGTAAACGTAACAGGCACTAGGTGTAGCCTTGTTTTGTGGGCGGGGGGAACGTTATACCTCAGTTATAAACGGCGGTAGGAATATACAAATATATATACGTAAGGCGCATTACACGCGGGCGGTATTGGTCAGTCAAAATAAAAATTCGTTTACACATATATAATTGATGTCACGGACGCGTGTACGGGTATGAAAACCAAAAATATAAAATTGTATAGGAAAATATTGTTGTTGGCGAGGGGTGAGCGGTGTGGGGTGAATGCGTTACGACAGTCTAGTCTCAAGACCATAGACGACGGGATACGCGAGAATAATAATGAGTGGCGCGTGGAGATTTACAAACAACAAACACACAACATACATGTGAAACTAATATAAGCGTGTTAAAAAATAAATAGCGGG